AAAGAAAGAAAGAAAGAAAGAAAGAAAGAAAGAAAGAAAGAAAGAAGAAAAGAAAGAGAAAGAAAGAAAGGGAAACGGGCTTTGGGACCATCACCACTACTGTGTCTTCGCTGGCATCAGCAAATACAGCAGGCTGTATCAGCCCTATGCGGTCCCCTGACCTCTGAGCAGATCCCTGGCGCTCACTTCCTCCTCCAGCCTTAAGAGAAACAAATGTAGGGAAGAAGCACAAGTCGGAGAAATTTTAAAGAAAAGCATCAGGAAAGGGCAATGTGCTTTCCGCCCCCAGAGCTAAGTGATCCCAACTAGGAGTTTCTAAGCACCTAGCTCAACGTTTGGCAGGTATAATGCAGTCAGTGAACGCTACATTATAAATGAATTAATCAGGTTAAGTGTAAGCATATTTTAAAGAGAATTATTCAGTCTAGGGCCTGAGATTATCTCACCCATCCATTTAGTTTAGAAGAATAATTAAGATCCTTTGAGAGAAGAGCTTTTTACCCAAGGTGACATAACCCTAACCCAAGTTTTCTTATTTTCTTCCCCCCTAAACCAGGCCAGCAGGCAAAACTAGAGTGCTTACTCTGTGCTGGGAATTCTAGACATCAGGAATATAATGGGGTATACCCAGACCCAGTTTTCAAGCAGCTTACATTCTAGAAGAGGCAGACAGACAATGATCACATAACCAAGTAAATAATTAGCATACGTTCTGATAGCATTAAATCTTATGCAGAAAATAGCCCATTCCTGCACTGAGAGTGAGGGCACTCCTTCAGGTGGCAGCTCTCCAAAAACAACCTCTGGAAGCGGTCAGGGTTGCTGCAGCCATGCTGGGGATAAAAGCAAAACCTTCTCTTTCCTCTCCTCCTGTCCTTCGTGCCCAGCATTGATCCTGCTAACCTTAAGCCTCATTTGCACCACATATTAAGGGTCCTGCCCATCCTCCCCCCCCCCCCCCCCCCACATGAGGCCCAAAAGTAGACTTCATTACCCCCCCCCCCCAAACTGCAGCACTCTCTTAGACATCACAGTAGAGGAAGCAAGGCAGGCCAGCCGAAACCACTAGGTGGGGGCATTGGCCAGGATGGAGCAAAAGTGTGTGTGATTGCGGGTGTGGAGTGTGCCAGGAAATCTATTTTCCTGCTATCTTAGGGGAGTGAGGCAAGATGAGGAGAATTGTTGAAAGGACGAGAAGGGGAGGAAGGCAGAGAGGGAGCTTACCAAGCTGCAGGCAGCCTTTTCCTTTCTACATTTCGTCTCCAGGGGCTGTAAAGGAGAAAACCACTTGCTGCTTCTAGGGTTTGATTTAGCGATGTAGGGAACCTGTGGCTTTCTCCAGCCACTCTCTTAAACTGCTTCGCGGAGTCTTGAACCCTGGGAGGAATCTGCCACCTTTGCACGGAGTTTGATTTTTTTTTTTTTCTAGCCTTTGGTTAATTAAGAATTGCGTGAACACACCAAGCAGTCAGTCATACAGAGGGATTTAGGCAAGGGTTTAGTGGACAACCACGTTTCATTAACTTGACTCCCTCATATCACTCCTTTAGCCCTTTAAAACATATAAAATATAGATGTTTGCACATGGGTGCATGTGTGTGAAACACGCAGGAGAGCAGGGAACCTGTAAGGTCACCTCTTCTTGGATCTCCCCTACCGAGGAGGGGCCCTTGGGCGCGATGCGCGCGCCGGCTCCGCAGTCCGCAGCGGCGCTGGGAGGAAACTCCCTTCAAGTTAGCGGGAAACTCAGCCCACACGGACTCAGCAAGAGGGCAAGGAGGGAACGAGTTGGAAAAGATTGAAATGGGGTGGTAGAGTGCAGCAAAGGTTATTTGGGTTGAAAGAAGCTCTTGCTTCGCCACCCGGCAGTACGACTGCAAAAAGTAGTGTGCACCGCGCGGGTGGACCTTAAGCAGACGCTGAGGAGGTGGAGGAAAACGCTGGAACCGGAGTGAAGCCTGTGATCTGACACAAAGTCTGACATGGGGGTGAGCTGTGGAAGGACCAGAGAAAAATCGCCTCTCATAGAGACTTTGCCTAAGCTTTTAGAAAGATTTGGAATTGCTGATGCAGCAAAATGCGAGGCACAGGCTTGGAAATTTGCAGCGTGGCGCTAGCTGAAGGAAATGCTGTGAAGAGCAGCTCCTTCCACCTCCAGGAAACCACAACAGGTACCCCCTAGAACTTACTGCGACTCAACTCTGTCTTGGCTGGAAGCCCGCCAGCCAGCCAGTGTCCGGGACATGGATCATGCTTGCAGCATCCCGAGAGTCTTCTCTGCGTTTCCCAGAAAGGGACTCTTAAGAGAGCTCCAGGCACAGGAGCAAAGAAAGTAGTTGTAAGTTAATCTTTGCTTTGCTCCAATTAAAAAAAAGAAAAGAAAAGAAAAAAGAAAAAAACCAGGACACTCAAGCTCTCCTCGCTTTGCTCCTATGATAGAGGAAAAATGCAGTCTCACACTCTCCATCTCCACCAATTGAAAAATCAACAACCAGTCCCTAACCAGAAAATGTGGGGACCTGGCAAGCTACTTTTTACAAGTCCTGCTCCCTCAATCTATGGCCACTGTTTTTGTTTTTTAAACTGCCACCCAGGAAAGGGACAGCAAGTGACCATGAACTCTATATGCAACATTCTCATGTGTGGTGGTAGCCTGTTTTTGGTTCATCTTATATTTCCTCCAGTAATATTCCTTAAAAGTATATTGATAGTAATGAAAGTTATGAGTCGTACTTATGTCTTGTTTCATGGATCTATGGAAATGTTCAGATGAATGAACATATAGATACACACAGACATATACATCCAGTTTTTGCAGACACGTTCTGGGGATTACCAAACCCTCTGAGGCTCAGCTCCTTCTACCTAATCACTGACCCCACTTTGGGCCTTTGACTTGCTATCTGTGTCAGGGTACTAATGTGCTGTATGCTTAATAAGGGATTTTTAATGCCAAATAATAAAACTAGGTGCTCTAGTTCCTAAATTCTAGGCTGGCAGAAATTAATCCTGGAGAACTAGTAACTCTGCTACCTATTTATGTATGGATACAAATATTGTGTATCTATATTTAAGGAAGAATGACACAAAAAATAGAGCAAGTGTTCGTAAGTTAGACACTTCCTAATTCCTGTCTCTGTAATAACCACCACTTTGCTACTTTGAGCAGATATCCGGAACTCAAAGTTACTGCTGGTTCAAAACCAGCCCAGTTCCAACTAGTAGAAGAGCTAGCTCCCAACTTAATTCTCAATCACATATTTCCTGGCTAAAGATCTAGGTCCTGGAAGAAAATTTCTAACATAATGCTTAAAGTAATATAAGCAGAGATTGCATGGGGGAGGCGGCGTTGAATTTTTCTTTTTGGACCAACAGTGGGATCTGGCAGTCATAAATCTTTGCATGGAAAACAATGCCAATGAATCCACCAAACTTAGAAACATTAATTTGGCGATCATTAGGCAGCTCTGTTAAGGGTGAAGTCTCTCCTGAAAAATCGAATAAAAGCATTCAACAATGAGGCTGTCCACTGGCCAAAGGAAAGAAGCAATAGGAATTGGGTTTTGCCTTCTTTTCAAAGTAGGAAAAATTACATTATTCTGTGTGATTAGTTCCAGTGTTGCAAACAAACAATCAAGAAGCAAAACAAGCCAAGCCGGTTTATTGTTTCTTCATCTGTAACTAATGAATAATAATCATTAGCCTTTCTTGAGCATCATGAACTAAGCCTTGTGCTACAGGTTCCAAATATGTTCTCTC